ACCAGGTTGGTTTGACAAGACCTGCCCCTAATGAACCCATGCTGGTTGCCCCTGAGCATAACCTCCCCTGCTGGCCCTTCCTGGACATGTGCCATGATAATTCTTTCTAAAAGCTTCCCCAGAACCGAGGTAAGACTCATGGGCCTATATTTTCCTGGGTCCTCCTTCCTCCCTTTTTTGAAGATGGGGACCACGTTGGCCCTTTTCCAGTCCTCCAGCACATCGCCCGAGTGCCATGAGTGCTCGTAGAGCTGTGCCAGAGGTCCCGCAATGACCCCTGCTAGTCCCTTCAGCACTCTGGGGTGGAGATCATCAGGACCTGCGGATTTAAATACATCTAGTCCCTCTAGAAGTTCCCTGACAAGGTCCTCATTAACCCTAGCCCTGGGTGTGCCACCCACAGGGCCCTCGGGGGGGCCAGTGAGGGAGATATCCAGGTCCCTCCTCAGAAATACGGAGGCAAATGTCAGGTGAATGTCAGCTTTACTGTCAGGTGAGATGACCAGATTTCCTAGCATGTCCTGCAGAAGCCCCACATTACTTGGCACCTTCTTTTGCCCCCCTATGTATTTGAAAAAGGACTTGTTGTTGTCCTTGATCTGGGTCAGTAGTCCCAGCTCTATTTCCGCCTTGGCCTTACTGACCACCCCCCTACATTCCCGAGCTACCAAGGTATAGCCCTCTCTTGTGATGGCCCCTCCCTTCCAACGGGTGTATGCCTCCTTTTTTGTTTGGAGACATTCCCGGATGCTTTTGGTGAGCCATGGGGGCCTTTGTGCCCTCTTGCCCCCTTTGATGTTTTGATCCAGTATGACAATTTCTATACTAAGTTTACTTAGTAATGGAATAGTTCTTGCATAACCATAAATTTAAATTTCAATAATGTTATATACGCTATTTGGTTTTCATTAATTTTTGACAAGATCTTTTTTCAATCATAGGTAATTTTCAGATGGTGGAAAATCTCTCTTAGGAGTGAATTTCGTGAATCAAAGCCTGGAGAAATTAAAGAAGCTCATGAGGATTTCTTGGATGACCCATCTCTTCAGAGTAAGTTATTAGAGAAATTTACAAATTTATTACAGCTGATATGGATCTGCAATATAATGATCTGAGAAGGAGACTCAGATCACTCAGAGGCCACATCTGCACATGGTGTGGACGTTTGGTTCCCCAAGGACAACTAGTGGCGGCTCTCCTACTGACCCTGGGGAATGCCTGTGCCACACGCACTCTGGCACATGGCAAGTTAACCTGGGGATAGTAGGGGAGGCTGGGGCCAGCACTGGGTTGGCACCAGTAGCCTTACCTGGGGTCCTGGGGGTCTTCTGGGGCTACAGCGGCAGTGATTCTGCTGCATGGAACCTGGCCAGCAGCCACAGGGCTATTTGCTGGCCCCAGCAGTATAAAAAGCTGCCCTAGCGAGCAGCTCAGGGCTACTTGCCCTCAGGAGCTTCTGAGGCCCGGCCAATTGCTATCTGGGGACACTAGTCCCTTGTGTCAGCTGGACTGGCCTTAACCTAGAGTTGCCTCTGTGCCCTCTACCCATTACAACAGTCTAGCAGTGAGGGCTGCTGCCTGGCTGTGACCTGTTGTCACCTGTGACAGCATCCGTCCCCTTAGATCTGTGGCCCCATGGCTGCACAACTGCCAAACCCAGGCAGGGACTGCATGGCTGGGAGGCTCCATGGAGGTCCAGCCTGATGGCACACAAGGCACATGGAGGCAGGAGCTGGTCTGGCCTGATGATGTACAGCTCCTGCCTGCAGTGCCAGGAGCCCCAGGTGGCAGCAAGAATTGGCTTAGTCCAGACTGAAGGTGCACACCAGTGATCTGGGCTGGTGCTATGTGCCACATGGAGCCCCTGGGTCTCAGGCAGCGCTGCACGCCACTGGGGTCCTCCTCCAACAGCGGGCCATGAGCGCCCTGCTGGCCGACTGCTGGCTGCTGTGGCTGCTACGGGGGTGGGGGAGGCTGTGCACTGTGCAGGGGAATGGGTGGGGTACCTAGCCCCTCCCACACAGTCCCCCCCAGCCCCGCAGTCCCTCCACCCACAGTCTGTCCACCCCAACACAGTCTCCTGCACCTCCACAGTCCCTCCCTCCACCTCCACTTCCCTGCCTACTTGGGACAGAGCCTGGGTCCAGGCCACTGCTGCCAGCCTTGTCCCACTTCTGTTTGCTCCAGCACACTGAGACAGTGTGCTGGAGCAGCAGGGGCATGCAGCAGGCATAGAGATGCTCAGTCCAGGTGCCAGAGCTGCTCTTTGGAGGACCCAGCCTCTGGTTACTTCTGAGCATACTCCAGAAGTGCACCCTGCACCACTTTTTTCCTGCGTGGTTTTTTTTTTTACTAGAATTTCCTGGTATGACGCTTACAGTCCGCACTGCAAATATGTAGCACAGGGAACATTTTTTCGTTCCTAGCATGCTTCCTGTGGCATCTCAAACTGCTTTGAGACACAGCAGCAGGCACATGCTCACTCATCTGGACGTGGCCATAGAGACCAAGATGTACAGGCAGCTTAGTAGCTGTGACATTTTTTATGAGCTGCTGTGTCATGTGTGCATATGGAGAAAGATATTTTAATTAAAGGTGGTGTCTCATGTTTATCATGTTTTTGAATGATAGTTTATAAAGACATAACATTTTCATTTGAACTTCCTAATGCAAGCTGAAAGCAGTTGGTAATATATACCAGCTTCACTGAGGAATTGAAACAAGACTACAGGACAAGTTAATTTAAGTTAAACTTAGTTTAAATAATTTCAACACTTTTTTTGGTTCAGGAATGTCTTGAAGTTGCTATCAGATAGCAGAAAATTAATTCCCAAGAAGTTTTTTAATATATTAAGCTCTGTTGTTGCTGACATTGTTAATCTCTCTATTTGTCAAGCAAAAGTAGTCTTCCAGTATTTCAGCCTGGCAGTGGTGATATCAATTTTTAAAATACCTGAGCTTTCTAGGAAATATTTTGTTAATGAGAGTCAATTTCTACTCTTTCTTTTGTGCCAAAGGTTACTAAAAGCCGAATCCTAGTAGCACTTCCTTGTGATGAATCTGAAAAACGTCATTATTTGGAGTGGGGCTTTGTACATGTCTGCATTACTACAGTGTCCTGTGTATATGTGCTGGCCAGGGTTTTATGTCACTGTATTTACTCTTGTGCCTTTCCGTGGCATTTGATACTATTGTAATGTCACAGTGAGACATCTGCATTGGATTATCTGTCACATTGTTCAAATAGTTTATATCCAAATCAACATATACAGCCTTTCCTCCTTTAGCCCCTGTGTTTTCAATGTGCTAAAAATGTTTGTAGCTTCCCTCAAGAATCTGAGTCTAACTTTTACTGTATTTTCAGACTTTCTCTTAAAAGTACTAGTAGTGCTTCTGAATTTCACTATCACATAGACACTGTTGAAACCCAGAAAAGTCTATCTTTTCTCAACATCAATTTGTTTCTTCCTGCTTGCAAAGAACATCATCTTGAGCAATTGTTTATATGTAATCTTCCTTTGAGGATCATATTAACCATTAATATATTTGGTAACTACTCCAGATCACATCTCCTGCCTCCCCATATAAATGTTCAGATACTTTTATGCCCTTTATCAATCTTTGCTTCAGGAACCATACTGCTGATTCTCTCAGATATTCACAGGGGTCGCATCCAGACAAGCAAGCACTTGCCTTTGGAACACATGCACTCAGGAGCCACGGATGGCGGCAGGAGCTGTCCTGGTCTTGTTTGAAGGTGCACGCCAGCAGGCTGGGCCAGTTCCGTGCCATGTGCAGCCCCTGGGTCTCAGGCGGTGCCACACCACCTCAGGGCTGTGCCTGCAGCAGGCCATGAGCACCTCAATGGCCCGGCCCACAGCCCCCACACACCCCTCACATCCTGGATAGCGAAGGGGGCAGGGGAAGCTCTGTTTTTTCTAGGATAAAAAACCAAAAGTAAATACCTAAGCATATAAAGATATTTAGAATGTATTGTATTATGATGATAGAGGCACTGGTAGGCATCCAAATTGCTTTAAAATTGTAAATATATCAATAAAACATTTCCTGACTGATCTCTCTCTCTTATAATGGTGTTTCATTTTAATCATGGAAGAATATAGATTTTGGGGTATTTTAATGAGAGAATTTGGGATTTTTTATCAGAGAATTTGCAATTTTTAAACAGGGAACATCAGGATTCCTGCTACTGAAGCAAGTGGCAGGACCCAGGCAGAGGAGTCTGCCCAGGGCTGGCACCAGGGACCCAGCTGGAGGGCAAATGAGGTGGCTGACCTTCTGGCCATTTCGGGCCAGGAGGACATGCTTCGACAGTTCAAAGCAGACCACCACAATAAGCACATCTTCCAGGTGATATTTGCTTAGATGGCAGGGTGGGATCACATATAGCATCAATACCACATGCAGGCCAACTGTGCAGCCACAGCCCACTGGCAACTGGCACAGAGGTGCAGGCAGCTCTGCTGCAGTGTCCATGCCACAGCCCAGGTGGCCATTTGGTCCCCATCTAGATCTGGCAGGCATGCAGACATGGGGCTGTAGGTCCAAGGGGCCAGATGCTGTTACAGGTGGCGGCAGCCAGCAGGTCAAAGCCAAGCAGCAGCCCTAGCTGCCAGACTGCTGCAGTGGGTAGAGGGTGCAGGGGCCCTTCCATGTAAGGGCTGCTACAGCAGTCTAGCTGGCACAAGGGGCTAGTGTCCCCAGATACCAACTGGCCAAGCCTCAGAAGCAACTGAGGAGAAGTAGCCCTGAGCTGCTTACCAGGGCAGGTTGTTATATTATATACCGAAGTGCATGTTCAGGCACGTGTGCTGAGGCACAAATCTCCAGCACAAATTTGTGCTGCTACTATTTGAGCTGCTGCAAGTGCACGTGCCTGCATGTGTGTATGCAGCCCGGTTGTTCAAGCATTACCTTTCCAAACATGTAGTGAAATTTATGCCAAAGTTAGGTTCCTATTAAGGCAGTGGCAACATCCCTGTTGACTTCAGTAGAGAGAGGTAGCATCTGATGAAGTAAGCTCCTGCTTACAAAAGCTTATTTAGGTCCAATTTGGTTAGCCTATAAAGTGCAGATTTACCCTGCCTTCTGCCTGGCTTCAGTAGCATTCTAAGTATGGGCTACTGTGTACATACAATGCACTCTTCCAAGTCATTAACTAACTTTATATCTAGTCTTAAGAATTAATTGGCATTTTTTTGTCTTCTTTTAGTTACTGTTTATTTCATGGGCTTTAATGTGTCCCTGAAGATGCATATTATAAAAACGATATTACCAAAACATCATTCCACCAGGGAAACAAGGGGGAAAATGATTTCCATTACAAATAAAATGTTGGGTTCGTCACTATCCAATGAAGGCGTTTCAAGCATCCAGTAGATAGCTTATGAAGTACACATTTAAAAATAAAATGTTAACACTTCCTAAATACTTAAATTTCTGTTATCATTAGTAAAGTCAATGCAGATTAGCAATAGAGATCAATGGCAACCATTCACTTTCATGTTAATAATCACATATAAGTAATAATGTATACAAATGGATCATCTCTATACAGATCCTGTGATTGTGCTACATGGTAATAAACCAAAAATGCCTCTGACATATATCCCTGTGCATCAGCAGGGAAGCAAAATTTAAATTATTATGTATTTGATTCTATAGTTCAGATACAACTGTTCTACTCTTTTGAAGAAAAAAAATATATAAGTAAGCTTATAGTACTTCAAACTGAAACAAACTTGTACTGTAGACAGGATCAAAAAGAGTGCTTCTAGTATGGTACAAAATCTAAGAATAAAATAATTTCATAACATAATGTGGAATGACTATCTCACAATAATTTTCAGTTTTGGAACCTAAGGACATGTGTAGACAAAACAGGAGCCCTAAATTAAAAAACCCAACACTTCAGTTTAGGGCCCTTTAAACCCCAGTGTCGTGCACACACCTGAATTTACCTGCCTCTCTGGCGGTGGGGAGGGGAGGATGAGCTGCTGGTGTGTGGAGCGATCCCTGGGCTCTGGGTG